CTTGTAAGTAAGAAAAGAAGGCAAAACTTGTTCCTTTATATTTTTGAAATACCATACATATCAGGATAAAGCCGACCTATTTCAGGCAGTTTTGAGTTTTTCTACCCATGAAAAGTATTCTAGAGAACACAGATGCTTCTCAGATATTATTCTTTAGCTAGAAGTAATGAGCCAGTGTTTCCCCTCATTTATTATATTAACAACACCATCTGACAGCTTGGGGCAATTTCTGTTGTCTCAATTTCTGTATTTTAATTTCATGATACACTAAAAATAAAGTTATATAACTATGTAGTTGGTTCTCTGATGAATTTTGGTTTCTTAGTTTATACCATAGCTCTTTCTTTATCTACTTCTACTGATATTTGTAGATGTGTAACAAGAACGCTGGGCACAGCGTGTCTAAACTGGCATCTTATTGCCTCCAATCATGTATTTTCAGGAGACATATCTGTCTTAGGATGTGTTTCTGCTGGTCAGTTAAGCAGATGGGTCTGCTTATTTATATAAATCTTCAAAATCAGAAGATTTTCATCAAATCATCAAAAAATGCCAATTGGGTCTTCTTCCAAGCAAATTCTAAATATAATGGTGTCTCATCTCTACTGTTCCCCCACTCATCAAAATTGAATTTAATTTTTGTTTCGACCATCACCATGGTGCTTCTGTTTCCAAAGATCCACAAATATTTTTATCTGAGTCATGCTCAAAGACTGGCTGAAAATCTCTTTTGCAAAATACAAATCTTATCATGAAAATTTTTACTGTTGGATGTTTTCATGGTATCACTTTATATTTGGAAGACTACCCAAAGCCCTTCATTAAATCCTGTAAAGTCCTAATGGCAAAGAGCTTCCCGCTTCCCTTACCTAACTTGGCTGATCTCTTCATGACTTCTCCATGGCTTGTCTGCAGCCACAGGTATCCTTGAACATCAACGCTTTCTCTCATATCAAGGTTCTGTGATTGTCTTTGTCACATAAATGGATGGACCTCCCTCTCCCATCTATCCCCCTTTCAGCTGCATCTTGGAGTCAGCCTCTTCTGACACTCTCACAGTAAACAGTTGCCACCTCCTTGTCCTTCTACACTCATCATCTAAGACTATGTCATATATTTGATATTAAAGATTTATTTTGGGTCTTTGGAACAAAATTTATCAGATTTGCTTAGAGAAGACTTTGCCTTCACTGTTTACAAATATTGGGTCTCCTAAAACTGCAAATGACCATTGTGTTGTGTTGTTGCTCTAAAATCCATTTGTTAAAGTTTTCATCTCTGGTACCTCAGAATATGACTGTATTAACAGCAGGTTTTTTTGGTCCACCCACTGAGACAGTGTGCCTGAGCTAATGGGAGCTCACCAAATCTACCTGGAGTGGGACTAGACGAGCATGGGATCAAACTGGACCCTCTGAATGTGGATGACAATTGGGTCAGACTGAGAAGCCAATGATAATGGAAGTGGAATTTGTCTCTACTGCATGTACTGGCTTTTTGGGATCCTATTCTATTTGGATGCACAGCTTCCTAAGCCTGGATGTAGTGGGGAGGGCCTTGGATTTCCCACAGGGCAGGGTACCCTGCCCTCTCTTAGGACTGAAGGGGGAGGAGGAAGGGGAATAAAGGAGTAGGAGGGGAGTGGGAGAAGGGGAGGAAGTGGAAATTTTGATTGGTATTATTTATAAAGTAATAAAAAATTTATATTTGAAACAAAGACATATATAAGTTAAAATTTAGGTCATTAGAATGGATCCTAATTTAATACAACTGGAGTCAAGGTAAGAGATGTGAATCTACATGCAGGGCAGACCTTGTGAACAGGTATGATGAAACAACCTTAGAGAGACCTCAGGATAAAACATTCTGGACCCACTCCATCTTGGGTTTCTAGCTTCTAGATTAGAACTAAGATAAATCATTTCCTATTTTTAAAGCCATGTTTCTGTGTCACTTAGTTATAGCGGCCCTAGAAAACTAATAGATTGCTAAAAACACCATGCCAAAAATATTTTTACTGAGGAGATTCTGGTTCTTCTGCATTACAACTTTGGTATACAGAAAGTCAGTATTTTACAAAACACAACTTAGAAAAGATAGCAAAACACACATATACTCCCCAGCTAAGGAAAGGGAACACTGGCAGCACCAGCGGCCTCTTCCAACCACTCCCCAGGGTCCGCAAAAAGGAAGTACTGCTCAGAGTCTGGTACTATTCATTCTTTCTGTGGGAGTTCTATAGGCCAAAAATGTGCCTTTCCCAAACACAGCTTTGTTGTTCTCTGCTTTTAAACTTTTTATCAATGGACTTTGTAGATATTCTTTTGTGGCCTACTGCTTACATTCTACATAACTATCAGGAAATGCACTAAATCCCTGCTTACAGACTTCAGACAGAAAATGAGAGAAGAAAGTTTTAATGTTCTTTAAATTTGCAAGGAGGCCTAGAAATAACACAACCTTGGATATATTCTGCTCATGACAAATGATGTTGACTTATAAGCTTCCTTATACATAAATATTAACAAGAAAATTCTAGAGTGATGTGAGCTCTCAAACATTTGCCACTTTGATGTCTTTGTACAGTTGTGATTAGACTGAAAAGAGCCACTGAAGTTCTGAATAGAGAAGCCATTCTTTAGTTGACAAATGTAAGGTAGGAAATATTCTAGGCTTGTCTGCAGTTTCTACAAATGAAGGATGCATCTGTGGACTGGAATGTCTAATTGTCACTGCAGTGACTGCTTCCTCCTAAGAGCCAACTGGCCAATCCTTAGCAAATTTAAAAGTAATTCTTAATTCACTGCCACAAAAATGAAATTTGCATAAAAGATATTAGTTATATTAAAAAGATTAAAGAAAAAGTAGCAAATGCTCAAAATATATTCCTGCATAATTATTTTACTGTAGCTTAACATTTCCAGTGTCTTGAGGTTGTACCCACATCCACTGGGTCATAGGACACTGATAGTTTGTAATGGCATGCTACCGTGTAAAGTCTTTGTTAAACACTTGCTGAAATCACATTGAAGCCTGAGGTTAAAGGTGTAGCTACCTATGTCATAGAGATGAGCTGACACTACCAAGTAACCAAGTAGGCTCCTTCCTCCCCTTGGAAAGTCAGAAGTTGAGTGTTTGCCCACTCATTGTCTAGATGCCACCACCTGCCATCACTTGGTCACATGCATGGCTCAAGTGTCTCTAAACACAAACTGCTGGTTTGAAACCATACAGCAGGTTCTATTTTACCCAAGGAACAAATAAAAGTAAAATGTAATGTCACTTGTTGTTAAAGCTCAGAATTTAGAAAATGTGTTTAAAGTAATGTGACATCATCTTCATTTCTATAATAGTATATGAAAAGAAAGAGCAAGAATGAGCCGATGCCAGGGAAAAGTCTCATTATAGTCATAGACTGGAATAAGTACATTCAAAGGGGATTGGAAATAGAGAAGCAAAACTCTGGTTAATTACTTAAATTTACCTTCACAAAGACCTACAACAAACTCATTATAAAAATGTACTAACAGCTATTATCTATAATAGAAAAATATGGAAGGGGTAGATAAATTATATATACTTATATGAAAGACTGTTATGTCTATGTTTAACTAAAGTTTCTAAAATCTTGAATGATCCAGGGACATTCACAAGAAAATAGGGGATGCAGCATGATCTAATCAACAGAAGCTCCACAAAAAATTACACACATACCCTGAAGAATGACTGGGAGCAGGTGAATCATACCATAATTGTCCAAGGCTGCAGAGACACAACTAGATATTCACTAACTTTCTTAGGAATCTTTAAGTTCTATTTTTTTAAAAAGATACAATAATTAAAATGAAAAATAACTGTATTATCCCATCACTTTCTATTTGAGAAAAATATATATGTGATATGGTGGGCATGAGGAGAACTTGGCTCATGGGAGAAGCAACAATTATAGTCTGTCATTGTGTTAAGGCATCTTTTGTTTGCTAAATATGTAATAACACATTTGTCTACTTAGCTATGAATCACTTTTCTCAATCATTGCTCTCATTGATTTAGCATCTTCTATTTTTATATTCTCTAATCAAATTCTTAAGTTCGCATAAATCTTAATTCAATATAATAAACATAAACAAGGAGGATATAAAGTCAGGCAGTAGTGGCACACGCCTTTAATCCCAGCACTCGGGAGACAGAGGCAGGCAGATCTCTGTGCGTTTGAGGTCAGCCTGGTCTACACAGTGAGTTCCAGGACAGGCTCCAAAGCTACAACAATACCCAGTCTTGAAATACCAAAAATAGATAAATAAATAAATAGGATATAAGAAAAAAACTAAAAATTAAGCAAAAAATACTGTAGAAACAATGTAGAAAAGGAATCACTGTCTCAACTCTCATAGAGTTTAACCCAGCCCGTGATGGCAAGCACTCATAGAAAAACATTGTGTGGATTAAGCCACAAAGTAAGGATCAATGTAAAGGAGAAATAATCTAATGTCTTTCTGATTACTATAGTAATGTACATGAAACTGAGAAAGATAAGCCTGCAGAACACAAAATGGATCAGTAGATTTCTTCTTGAATATTATTAGTTAATTGCCTAGTATTCTTTTTGCCTTTAATGCCTTATATTTTGAATGTGTTATTCAATGTAAGATATTTAATAAAAATGTTTTCAACGTGCAAATGCAATGTTTATATAATGTAGTGATCACCACAATCCAGTAAACGCCTCTAGCATAATGCGAGACACACTCATCTTAAACATTTTTAGCGGTTCTTTGACATCTAAATCATAACCAACAGGGAGGCTCTATGCTATGAATTTGCTTTTCTCATTCATCAGAAATGGAACATCCAATTCTGTGGCATGCTTGATATTTGAATTTCTTAGGAAAATGCTGATGTGGTGAATGTCAGTTCTACCTCCGCTCTTGAGAAGCCATGCACAGAGCATAGAAACTCACAGGTAACGAAACAGAACCAGCTTTTAGATGATGGCTTACCTGAAATTTTAACTTGAGACACTACTCCGTCTCCCCCATCACTGTGTGCTCGGACCTCGACAACGTACTCTCCGTCTCTGGGGATTGGGACTTCTATGGAGTGCTTATGGGTTGAGAACAGCTTGCCATCATGTTGCCCATCAGGTCTGTAGAGTATCTACAGAGTTCCAAATTACGAAGAGTTAATGGAGCCACAATTGTGAGCCAATGCCTAAAGTTAATAGCAGCATACAATGTTTACTCTTTGGTTGATAAAGGTCAGCACACTCAAGCTCTGAAGAGACATTCATCTGTTGCGATTCCCTGAGAATGGGGGCCTGCTGACCTGGGGCTCAGTCAGCAGCTTGTGCCACATCCTCAAATGCTTTCTGTTGTTCATTTGTTTACTTTTGTTTTGAAATGACTGGAACTATGCCAAAAATGCATCTTTTTTTTTTTCAGGAAAATATCAAATGAAAGCTTGTCACATTTTGAAGTGGCCTAACAAAGTTCTCTCAGTTTTAAGCCTTTTCAACATTATTCCCAGAGCTTACATAGCTAATGCATTAGCATGGTATAGAGAATCCATGGGAATAACTCAGTCCTTCTAGTTTACAGTGAGGGAGGAAGGCAACACTGTATATAATCAGTACCCCCAGACAAACAAAAATGAGTGCATCTGTCTCCTGTCTAAGCAATGATTACTGTGACAGCTCCATTCTTTATAGGGGGTATTCTACTTGCCATAGAATTTTCCTAAAATCCACTCAAGGTAAATCCTTATCTAAAGATTTTTCATGAGACTCTGTCTTCTGACTGTGCTGTATGGGTAGAAAGAGGTCAAAAGGATTTTCCTGATATCTGAAGCCACGTACACCAGCGTTAGCAGGAAGAAAGCGTATGTGGACAATAGGCTAGGCACTTCTTAATTTACCTTGTATCCCGTCACTGTAGATTCATTTGACAGCGCAACAACATGATCCCACGTGATTATATAGCGGGACCCAGACCTCACCGAACTGATGATCCTTGGTGGTTGGCTGGGAGCTGTGGGAAGAAGAAACAGGTAATGAGTGATCACCTGATCAAACTTGGTTTCACAAACTACATCATTGGAGGGTCTGTGGCGCTGAAGATGCTCTCAGTAACAGCAGCCCACCTGAGGATTATTTCGTACGCCATGCACTGAGCACAACACGGCACTGTACATTCAAAAGTTTACTTAATTCTCCCAATTGTTTGTGAGTCAAGAAATAAAATTGTCTTTATTCTTTTCTCATCAGATTTTTTTTTCTCCTGGTCTCTTCAGACTGTTGCCGTCAAGATCAACAATCTTCACCAAATCTAATGGCATTTCTTACAACCTTTTCTGACTCTTCAGAGTTGAAGGGTTTCTAGATCTCTTGTTCTTTTCTCAAATCCCCTGCGTCTTATCGACACTCCTGTGCCTCTTTGTTGTTGCAGTCTCCCTCATTGTTCACTGTGAGCTAATTCTGTGCTTTCTGATCGATTTCCAAGTGTTGGAAGGACCACAGGTTTGATTCTGCATACGCATCTCTGCTTTATCTGTGAACCTTTCTTAAGCATTTTAAACACTCCAAATCAGTCTAGAGCCCTAATCTGTTTTCTTCTGAACATGTATTCAACTTCCTGTCTATATTGAATGCCTGATGTTGAAATATAATGTAAAAAGGATGAATCACTGGTCATGTAACCTCAAATCTGCCTCTTAGGAACATTTCCTATTTTTGGAAAAGGGCACATGTATGCTTCTAGTTTCCCAAGCAAAAATTTGCTATTTGTCCTTTCCTCCATTTATTGCCAACATCCAAGTTACCTGTATGTCCAGACAACTCCACACGAGGAATGAATTCCACATCTGTCTACACTTCCCCTTCATACTAGCTGCCAATGGCTCTCTTCTCAATTCTGGACTGGCTCTTCTGTTTTTGCTCTAATTGCCACAGTCCTTTGTTTCGATGGAAGTCAGAGTGATGGTTTCAAATAGCATAACTAGGTATCTTTATGACTTTAAGAAACAGGCTATTATCACACTCAGATAATACCCATAATGATGACTTACAAAGCACTTCACATTTTAAATTCCACACACTCTCCCTTCATCACCTCAGAGCCAGGTTTTGGTCCTACTGGTGTTTCCAAAATTAAGTATTTCAAATTCTGCATACTTATTTTCTCTATCCAGAATAGTCTTCTCCCAGTTCGTCACCAAATGGGTCCTTCTTATTTTTCATCACTTACATTCTAGCTTTCAGGGTATTATTTCAAAATCCTTCCAGCCAGGCCAACAGATTTGGCTTCCACACAAATCATTTTCAGTTTTATCAGTTCACCTATCCTACAGCCCTGTGGTTGTAAACACACTTACTTAACAGGGTTTTAGCTTGAGTTTTAATTTTTGCTATATCCTTTCCATGTAGAACTATTCTGGACAAAACACGTATTTGTGAGAAAAGAATAGAATGAACAAGAAAAAATAATTCTTCATTTAAAAAAATGAAATGAATCAAAATTTAAAGAGGAAAGCTAATTGGCTGTCATAGGTTTAGTGCAATGCAGAGTAGAATTCAAAACCATGTCTGACACTATCTACCTCTGTCAGTGTACTAGAAGACATGATCCTTAGAGATTTTCTCAGCATTGCAAAACCTCATGGTAATCATTCTTAGAGATACTGTGATGGTCTCTAGAGTCCTGCGTACAGTTGTTTCTTTGCACACATATGCTACTGGGTTCCAGAAGGAAAGTGTCAAAGTGAAGCTGGAGAGATGAGAACTGCCCAGATCTGAGCACAAAAATAGAGAGCAGTCTCGGTGTTAGAGAACTTGTTTGTGTCTATGTTATACAATGATGATCTATGAATAAAGCATAGGAAAATGGACACAACTGTGATGTTATGGTACCAATGTATCTGTATGAAACATTAAATCGATAGAAGTAGAGAGTAGACTAGCTGGTTTCTGATGGTCTGTAGTTTGAAGGAAGTTCTTTCTAAAGGTACTGGGAAGTAGAATAAAAAGTGTGTAAGAGCATGCTTCTCAGTTCTCCCTTTTCTGACAATACCTAGGACATTCTGAGGCAATATATAGGATGCGGCATTGAAAAATCAAAAGCGTATGAGGAGCTGGATAGAACATTCTTTTCATATGTGCCGACAATCAGGATCTCATTTAAATTAATTGGTAAATTTTGATGTGCCTAAGAATCAAGTTATGATACTCACGGGCTTTTCTGGTGAAGGCCTCGATCACGTCACTCGAAGGTCCACACCCGGCACTGTTGCAGGCTCCAACTTCAATGAAGTACTGGGTGTCAGGCAGCAGGTTCTCGAGCCTGGCGGAGTACTCCTGGCTGGTGACTTGCACTCGGTGTGCTGCTGCTTCCTTGTCGTGCGCAGCCCAGTATCGAATCTGCAGATTTCCAAGGGGAGTGATACTTCACTGTGATTCAGATCTTGGTGTGAAAAGTTCATTGCTGTGGGCTTTGCTTCACTGGTAGGATGTCGCCATATTTTTAATGCCACGTAATGACACATTCATCCTCCTATTGGCTTTGCATAGTGATATCTAACTAAAAGTAGTGCAATTAGATGACAACTACACTCTGCTGATAAGGTTGCCTTGTGCTGATGAGAGAGATGGAGGACACACGGAGGCTGATTAGATTGGCTTTCTAAATATGAAAGTGAACTTTCTGGAAATGCTTGTGACAATAATTTCAATCTTAATTTCTTGTTTTATATCTGTTTATAGGGTTTCAATTCATGAAGAACTTTCAATAGCTTGGCAGAAATATGCCTTGCTTGAAAAATACCTCATTATGTGGCCTGCAATGCACTGGCAAATGACTTTTCTTTTAGTAAAATCCTTTCTGATGTAAGGATGCATGCAATAGTGTGTATGTATGTACGTAAGTAAGTATGTATGTTAGCTATTTACTTTCATTCCTTTAAAACATCAAATAAATGCACCCAATAATCATTTATAATTATTTTATTGTGTGTGTGTATGTGTGTGTGTGTGCACACATATATGACTGTATGCTTTAGGCTACATGTTAAAGTCTGACCACAACTTGCCCTTCTCCTTTGTTGTCTCTCTCCTTTGATCTTGTAGGCCCATTGAACTCAGAGTGCCAGACTGGGTGGAAATCACCTATTTGGTGAGTTATAGAAGTTGCTTCCAATTAAGATATTTAAAAATATTTCCATTGTTATTATTAGAAATTACTACTTTTGTTAACTATAGCCTTGACTCAAAGCTTAATACAAGTTATAAATTTGAATTAGGCTTTTAAAATAAAGACTGGGGGCATTAAATCCATGATTATATCTAAAGTTTGAATGAAATTTAATTTTATAAGTATATTCAAATTTACCATGCTTAGATTCACTGCTTAAAGTAATGGGAATTTATTTTCAAAATCAGCCAAAATGCCCTGATAAAAATCACCTGATGCTAATATGATATTAAGTTTCTCACTTATGATCATACACACATGACCATTATATAACAGAACTCAGTAAGCCGAATCTTCTTGGCAGATTGTAAGGTTTACATGTCAGTTGTGTGGGTTTCCAAACGCAGGATAATTGCTTATTGTTTATATGTTTCTTTTGTGTTATTTTTATTTTCCTTTTAATGAACATTTTGATGATGTCACATCATACTTTTGGATGTTTTTAATGAAATCACTGGCATTTCTATCATTTCAAGACAGAAAGGGTGAAAGTGCACCAAACAGCCCCCCAGGCTGATTTCTGCTGACACGTGTGTTTCAGACTTTGCTAGGACAGGAGGCTCTTGGGAACATTAGACTGTGATCACATTCACTATGTGTGTGGAACATGGTCTCCATCTGCATGGAACCTGAACTAGACAACACATGAGGCCTTTTCCTTGCTAATCAGAGGACAAATACAATGAACATTTACATTCTGAGAAAATCCAGGTCCTTCATTAGAATAATCCACATACAATATCTTCTAAACAAACATAGAAAGGTAGAAGGCATTTGACAGCAGTCAAATCCAAGGACTTTAAAATTTCTAACTCTTGATATTTGTATGCATTGAATAATAATGCTTTAAAACATCATTTTCAGAGTAGTGCTTATATCTACTTCAAAGAGGAGTTTATAGACTATGCTGAATAATTCATGTCAACCTGAAACAAACTAGAATCGTCTGAGAGGAGTGAACCACAATTACAAAAATGCCTCCAAAAAATTAGAATAAAGATAAGTCTGGAAGGCATTTTCTTAATTAGTGATTAATGGGACAGTGTCCAAGTCATTGTGGGTGGTGCTTCCCCAGAGCTGGAGGTCCTTTCTGGGTTCTATAAAAAAAAGCAGGCTGAGCAAGCCAGTAAGCAGCACCCCTCCATGGACTCTGCATCAGCTCCTGCCTCCAGGTTCCTAACCTGTTTGAGTTCCCACCGTGAGTGCCTTCAATAATGACAGTGATTCAGAATCATAAGCAAAATAAACCCCTTCATCCCAGCTTGCTTTTAGTCATGGTGTTTCATCCCAGCAACACCCTTACTAGGACATAGATGAAAACAATAATAAGATTTCTGTAAAATTCATGTGACCAAATGTGGAATAATCACATGAATTTTCTTACTCGAAATACAATGTGACATTTGAGATAGCAAACAAAAGGACATAACTGCATTTTCCTTGATTTAATCTTTGAAACTATGTCCTAAAAAAAAAAAACTGATTTTTTTTTTTGTATATCCAACTCTCCAAGGACCTATGGAGTAACGTTTAATTTAAACTTAGAACCAACAGAAGTGATGATCTTGTAACTTGACATCAAAAAGATCATTTAAAGGAGTCCCAGTGTCTTTGTTTTGAAATGTGACTTGTATGGCTTTGATCATAGGAAAATTAACATTTCAGAAATAAACACAGATCGCTTCCTTGCAAAGTTAGCCTCTCCTTAAATCCATGCTTACTCAATCCTTATGTTTTAATGAGTCCTCAAGTGTGCAGAAGTAGCTATATGAATGCAAATTGTGGCATCATCCTGTGAGAAGAAGGTCATGAGTCCTCACAGCTCTCTGACAGTCTCGGCAGTTATTCGGTACAGGAGGAAAGTCATTTTCCTTGGTAGTGTGGCAACCTGAAAGGTTCTTACGTTCTAGTAACACTCAGCCCACCACCACTCACGCTTATACATTAAATTTAGTGTGCCCAAAGAGAAAGAGATATCAAAGTACGAGTGGGTGGGTATGAGAGAGGGTAATGGGGTGATAATGCCCCAAACTCAAAATTGTCAAAGAATATAATAAACATTTAAAAAATGTGAAATTACCATTTTCATCTGAACTCACTAATTATGAAGGTAGAAGTCATTTCCAAATAGAGGATAGGCTTGGGCTTCTTGATCCTTGGGCCAAGCGTAAGTGTGTAAAACATTGAACTGATTCATGAGGAAACTGTTCAGTGTAAGGGACACAACTTGTAGCGTCAATCAAAACAAACGTAACACTTTGGGTTCCTTACCAGGAAGTTCACTGGAGAGGAGGCATGCGTGAGTAGGAACTAACTATCTCCAGCAGTGGAGGAAGTGCATAATAAATAAGAGATTCTTGGCTTTATAAATAGATAACACATTTGTTTGTGCATGTTTATATGTATGCAGGCACATTTTTGTATGTGGAAGAGCATGTGCAGATGTGTGTGGATATGTGAGGATAACCTCTGATATCTTCCTTCAAGAGCTGCACATATACATACATAATACACACACACGCACACACACACACATATATACATAGGTATACACATACATACATACATACATACATACATACATACATACATACACTGGCTTAGAGTTTGCCAAGTAGGCCATGTGACTATGTGGGCTGGCCAGTGAGCCTGGATTCAGCTGTCTCTGTTTTCGTAGCTCTTGGATAATATGCACACACCACTACACCTGGCTATTTTTGTCGCATTGGTTCCGTGGCTAAAACTAAGACTCTTGTGCTTAAGAGGCAAACACTTTGCTAGTTGATCTGTCTCCCTGGTGCCACAAATTCACCTGTATATGCTAGAGCAACACACTCTGCATTTATTTCCCTCAAGTTTTAATGTTGTGGCATTGATATATTTTCCTGTTTTTAGAAGTATCCAAAGGACCCTTGTCTACGGTTAGCGTATAATAATGCCTGTTAAATCATTATGGAATTGTCGCACTGTCTTCTCTGCATTCTTGCTAGAAGGTCAACTCTGTGAGGGCAGGTATATGCTAAACTAAGACCCTTTCCTTCATTGAACAAGTATTTATTAGATGCCCACTGCCCTCCAGCACTGTCACAGATGCTAAGGTTGTCATGGAGACCCAAGTAAATGTGTTCTGGGCCTTTATAAATCTCGCTTAAAGCTAAATAAAAGAAAGATTCAAAACATTAATATATGTAAGTACCAATATAATAGAGGTTTAAGTATTTAATTTGGTTTCAAAATGTAGTCTTCCTAAAAGTATTTGAAAGCTAAGAGAACCTTAGAGAAAAATTTAAGCCTTAGGTTTACAAAGGAATAATTATGCTTAGAACGTGTTTCTGGCCCCTAACATCATCTCTTTTCTTCTGGTCCTGTTGCTTTCTGCAGACCTTTCATCTCAGTTTTTCATGGAACATCAGGCTATGGTAAGAGATGCTCCTGGTTATGAAGTGCTAGGCATTCTAGGCCTTTTTAAAACTTTGGCCTATTTTACTATTTGCTGTTTGTTTTATACCACATTTCTGAATTAATTCTTTCCTTAAATCAGGAGCTTTATGCAAAACATACCCTATTTCTAGTGGCAAGTCCTCTAATAAAGATTTAATACTCTAGGCAAAATTAAGTATGGCACTTTTAATAAAAACATGAGAGACTAATACAGAAAAATCCCTCTCTCAGCAAAATATACAATTGCAAATTATTCAAATACCAGACTAATGCAAACATTAGACCATTCTATAACAATTAATAATGTCAGTCATTAAAATCTATGCTTGAAAACCTTTTGGGAGCTCCTTAAATTCCCTTTAATTGGGCTGGAGAGATGGCCCAGGGATTAAGATCACTGGCCGCACTTGCAGAAGACCTGAGTTTAGCTTCCCATATCCAAGTGGTGGTTTACAACAGTCTGTAACTTCATTTTCAGGGTGATATGGTGTCCCTTTCTGACTCAGTGGGCACTGCCCACATGCATGCAAAACCCACACACACAGAAGATAAAAATAAACAAATCTTATATTTTTTTATTTTGGCTTTTGGTACAGACAACCTACTCTAAGCAGGCTGCAGACAGTTTCCAGTGAATGCAAGACAGCATGTCCTCTGCTCTGGGCAACAACGATGTATCTGCATTGAGCTTGTCCAGTGTAAATCTCGCTCAGCAGGTACTGGTAGTAGGTTTCAGGTGGTGCCTGTGGCTGTCTTTAATCAGTGTGAAGAGTGGAAGAAAGACTGGTCTTCCCTCCAAAGCAGAGCCATTCTGAGCCACAGATAGCAAGTTTAAAAGTCTCTAGGGTGGACTGCTGGCTGTCTGCCATGTTTTCCATTAACACAGAACACCCCTCTATCTAATAACTTTGACAGTTCTTCCCAACCATTCCCTAGAGAAATGTTAAACTAAGTAAACAAAATATAACAAAATTTCACCTTTTCCCATACCTTGGTGTCAGAGATGCTGACTAAGACAGGTGGTTTCTTCAAAGGAAGACAGTCGATGTCTCCCTTAAGATCACTATATGCTCAGCTAATAGGTGCCCCTGAAACCTACTGTGTCCTCTGCATTGTAAATCCCCTACAAAGACTGTATGCATAACAACACAGCTAAAGGAGTTTTGCAATCATAGCCTATTTGGCTTATTTTCACTAAATTATCTTAGCAAATATTCTTCTGTTGAGTGAACAAAGTAAGTCTTTTGTAGACTCCTGATTAGGGGCTCATGTCAAAACACCATTGATAAGAACTTCAGGGGATCAGCCACATCATAGGAAAATTGTAGGTTAAGACTGGAAGTGGGAACTCTTTTATAAAGAAGAGGGGAGTGACTTTTAAACCTTCCAAGACACATTTTAAAGTCTCTCTCTCTCTCTCTCTCTCTCTCTCTCTCTCTCTCTCACACACACACACACACACACACACACACACACACACACACACGATTAATTTTTAGACTCAACTCCCTGTCGTGCTTATTTCATATATCAAGAATTTAACCTTGACTTGGGCCTAAGCATGCAAAATGTAAAATTTCCTTACCATTATATTTTATTTCTCACTTTTAATTATGATGCTTTTGTGTTTGTATCTTTAAAACTCAGATCCATCATATGTTTTAGGGAGGGAAGGGCCTGGTTTTCATGACTATCTATGTTACATTGGCTTCTCCATTTTAAAATCAAAACAATAATCATATCATTGCCAGTCTACCTCACCCCAAATATTCACAGGAATGTTTTCTTATAGGAGGAATAAGTAGCACTTCCTTCTCTTTTTTAAGCTTCTCTGCTTGTCTGTTTGATAGTCAAGGTTCTAAATGAGAATCTAAAAGACTTTTTAAGAAAGAACAAATAGATTAATTCTAAGATTTAATTCATACATTGTAAATCATTTGTTCTCAGGGCAGACAAGGCCCAGATTGAAACCTAGTTGTGGAAATTATTAATCAGACATTTGATGTGCAAATTCAATACAATGAACTTTATTATGTGCTTAACAAATGTATTAATCCTTGATCTGTGACTATCCTCCTCCTCTTTCTTATTCTCCTCCTGTTTTTCAAGTTCCTCGTCCCCTTTCTCACCACCAACATCTTCGTTAGCATTATCATAGTCACCTCTAAAGGCCCATGACACAGAGCAGGGATGTCTCAAAAAATCAGAAATTAAAAAATAAAAATAAAAATAAAAGAAATACAGTGAGAAGAAAAAGCCATGTAAAGGTAGAAAATACACAGAGAGTCTGGATACTGTATGTTATTGTGTTGTCTTTGAATTGCTTGACTTCTGAGGAAGGAGCAACAGCTGCTAAAAGACATTTGATTATAAATGCTGCTGGATTAATCCAACCTAGATATTTTGAAAATGCCTTGACTTCGAAATTAAAGTCAAAAGTTATGTTACTTTGGAGAAGAGGTTTTGCTTTTGTTTCCACAGGAAATGAGGTGCTGTGGGCTCATTCTGGGTTAAGTAAAGTAAGGTTTGATGGAGGAAGACCCCCTGAAAAATCTCTGATAGGAGTAGATATCCCAGATGATCCAATGTTTTAAGCACCTCTGTTGTAGTATTCTCTGAGTTATACATCTAGAACAGCTTCAAGACTCCTGGCTGAGATGATCCAGCCTCACAGAATATTCCAGTCAGGGATTGATCATGATCCTAAGTTTTATTTGGGTCTCCATAAGATTATCATACCCCAATCAACAGGAAGTAGCCTAGAAAACTATGCCCACATTTGCAAAAAAAAAAAAAATGAATTATAGATGTTTGCCTTTGTTTTGAGTGTTGATTACAAGTTGCTATGAATAATGGCCAGGAAAAAAAGGCTACACAAAGTAGATTAGATTCAGGGACTGGATTTGAAAAGAAAAAAAAAAGGGGGGGGAATATTAAGTATTATGGGATAATGCTGTTTTACCATGTAAAGATGTATCACTTGTATTGGTTTAATAAAAGACTGATTGGCTAGAAGCCAGGCAGCAAGTATACGTAGGGTGACCAGACTAGGAGAATTCCGGAAAGATAAAAAAACCTCAGCCTGCAGTCACCATGCAGACAGATGCAGACAAAGCAAGATGAAAGTGTTGCACTAAGAAAAGGTACCAAGCCATGTGGCAAAATATAGATAAAAATTATGGGTTAATTTAAATCGTAAGAGCTAGTTAATATTAAGCTTGAACTAACAGGCTGAACAGTTTATTATTAATACAAAACACTGTGTGTTTCTTTGGGTCTGAATGGCTGCAGGACCAGGCAGGACAGAAACTTTCATCTATACCATGATGTTCAGTGAGTACATAATTATGGTGTGCAATCATCAAATCAAGGTAATCTCTTATTCCTTACAGCTTGCATGTAGATGCCCAAACCACTAAACAGAGAGAACAGGTTGTTCAAAACCGAATTCACCAATGGGACACGAGATATTGAAATACTAAGCATATTATAAAAACTTATATATTTATGAATAAAAACACTTTTTTGATTAAAACATACTTGACTTACCTGATAGTTTTCCACGATTTTCTCTAGAACATGCTTCCAATGAACAGATATCTCTGAAGACGACAGCACTTTCACCCCTACTTCTGTGGGGGCTTCGCTGGGAGCTAACATTAGATCAGAATGTTACTTTTCTGTCAGAAGTTTACATTAAAAGTTCAAATAAAGTTCTTTTGTATAGGAATGAAATAGAACTATAACTTAACATCTTGTAAACAGTTTTAATAATCTTCCTGTTTATCCGTCTCTAGGGTCTTTATTTTAAGTGTTGATAAGTACACATCCATATTCACATGCATGCATGATGATATATGTACACACATACACATAAACACATGTGCACTTGCAACACACACAGACATATACACATGTGTGTACACACACGTGCGCAAGCACACACACAAACATTCACGCACAGACACATGCACTTTAACAAAACAGGAAACATCAGAGGTCTCAGGATGTCCACAAGCAGTGACTGCACTTTTAGAAACACTCCCAACTTGTTTGTTCCATATAACCTTTTGATACAAATTAAATTTAATGACATAGTTCAACAGTTTTACTTGCCAAAAATGGGAAAATTAGTATTTAGTATAGAAAGGCATTTGTGAAAATTAATTGTCTTATTGCCATTTATATAAATGACCAGTACATGGAACTATTAATAAAATTTCCCTCTCATGTTTAAATTAAAAGTATCAGACAGCCCAAGATCCTTGAGACAAGTTGTGACATCCCTGTTTCTTGGGCTCTAGAGAGCCTTTCCATGTCTAACCTTTCAAATGGGCATCAAGTCAAATATGTATCAAAGGTTTCTTCCTCTCAAAAAACAAATCACATCCCTGGTGAGATTTACACAAAGAACTACAGACTCCTTGAAGCAGGGTCATCAATTTTTACTGTCTTTTATTAAAAAGACATAATCCTATTTAATGTAAAAATCATGTCCCACATGTGAGGAGCTACCTCTCCCAGCCAAAGTAAACTAGTAGTGACATTACTGACATCTTAGCACAAGAAAGACTGACAACATACACAAGTTATAGCAGTGCAGGTTTTAGGAGACTCATGAAGTGTTCAAAAAAGAAATATGATTAAATAAAAAAGCCATGACTGAAAATATGAACATAACATCATAACATAAAATAAAGCAGTAGAACAAAATGAATCCCGGACAGAAAAACAATTGAAATAACTCTAACTCCTTTTTTATCTGTAAGATAAAAATCTTGTTTTCATCCCCAAGCTGACAACACATACAGGGAATAGAACATGCCTCTGGGCATACTTATTATCTGGTTTTGAATTTATTTTTTTTACCCTTTATTATCTGGAGGAATTTAGTTTGCTTAGTCGAGACAAATTACTCAGATGACGACCTTCTATATCTGTGTTTTAATGTAGTATTTTATATGTAAAATACCATGCTTGTTTTAAAGATAGCATAAGATAATTTGAAATACATTACATTTTTAGAAAAAATAAACTAATAAGGAATACATGTTAAAAATTCTCATTGATTGGTACACAGTTGTGATTATAGAAGGCTGAGGCAGAAGGATTTCTGAGATCTTAAGGCCAGCAGGGGTTGCACAGTCGATGAAATTTTGTCTCAAAATAACACAACGTGTAAACCAGGCAGCCTAAAATATTGGATTCTTTCTCCTAAAAGGACAAGTGAAAAATGTGCAATACTTTAGTTTTTGAATTCTTTCTTTAGTGTTACTCCTTCATGCACCAAAAATACGCATGGAATCTCCATGTCTTTTCCATTCATAATTATTGGCAGAGTACATATGAATAAGGAGACAATAATAGGGATGCGTATTTTTTACATGTTCTCTCTCTCTCTCTCTCTCTCTCTCTCTCTCTCTCTCTCTCTCTCTCTCTGTGTGTGTGTGTGTGTGTGTGTGTGTAGAAGCCAGAGGTCAATTCCAGATGTCTTCCCCTACATTTCTAATCTTATCTTTTGGGACAGCCCCTCTCACTGAGCGTGAAGCACACTGCTTAGAAGGGAGTAGCTGGCCATCAATCTCTGTCTTAGCACAGGAATTATAAACAGGAGTCACCAAGACATTTTTTTTCTCACATGGGTGCTGGAGAGCTAAACTCTGGTCCTCCCGCCCAGGAAGCACTTGGGCAGGATCTTCCTGGCTCTATCATGTCTTTTGTGTTATGTGCACAGGTGCATATATACATGTATGTGTGATTATGTAAAAGTGAGATTATCCTCAGACATCCTCCTCAACTACTTCTCTGCTTTGTTTTAGACAGAGTCAGTGGACCTGGAGCCCCCTTGTTTAGCTAGCCTGGCTGGCCAGTGAGCATCATGGTTCTTGTTGCCTCCACCTCCCTGGCACTGAGGTCACTGACACACTGTGGTTCCTCCCTTTGCCTAAAATCCTCACGTGCACACAGTAAGTGCTTTGCCACCTGAGCCTTCTCCAGCCCTGCCTCATATTTTTAAGTAGAATTATGTGTAAATAACGAGCTTCACAGTTTGGATGGGGAATCATAGAAAGCAACCTAATTATGTTTAATCCAATACTGTTTGCTGTTTGCATTTACACAAAAAGCCCTCAACAAGTATGCTTAGTTTACAGAGAGATCCAAGAAAACAAAGAGCCGTGATTGCACTGCTGCTCAATCCTCAAATAGCTTACAAGTCATGTTTCTCTCTTTTTTTAGTTAATCTTTTTCTTTTTCATATATTGCACCTCAATCACATTTCCCTCCCTCTTCTCCTCCCAGTCCCTCCCCACACCTAGCCTCTCCCCCAGATCTACTTCTCCTCTGTCTCTCTTCAGAAAAGAGCAGGCCTCACAGGGACAGTTTTTCTCCTTTAAAGAAAATTTCAATTGGCTGGGGAAGTAGCTCAGCTAGCTGTCTAGCCCTGCAAGAATCCTAGTTTGAGCCACAGACTGTATGGAGAAAAGGAAAATGCTAAGTATTGTGGTACATGCTTGTGACCCCTGAGCTGGAAGGCAAAGGCAGGTAGATCCCTGGGATTCTTGGCCAGAGAATGCAACCAATTTAGAGAAGTAAGAGACCTTGTCTTAAAAAATCAAAACAAACAAACAAAAAAAGCAAAAAACAAAAATCAAGGCAGATGTTACCCGAGGAACACCAGAAGGATCCCCATGGCCTCCACATGTCAGGTGCACCACACACACACACACATACACACACATGCAGAGTCTAATATTTAATTGTCCTAACAAAGTGTAATAAATGCTGCCATTAGACACAATTCAAGGTAAAATTCCAGACAATTTTACAAATACTACATATAGTATATTTTTAACCAAAAACATTAAATTACAACATTTTCCTCTTTCTTTCTTCCCTCAACCATTCCCATAAACCACCTTGCTCTCTCTCAAATTCATGATTTCTACTTTTTTAATTGCTATTATCAAACTTTAATTGCTGTTTAACTATATAAATATAACCTGTTGAGATTTTTTTTATTATTACTTGTATGCATATGATTTTAAGACTCCACACTTGGTACGGGCTAGCCAATTCAGACACTGTTATCTAGTAGTGGAGTTTGGAACTACTTAGACTCATGGACTGGAGAGATGGCTCAGTAATTATAAGCACTCACTGGCCTTCAGAGGAGCCAGATTTGACTCCCACACAGTGTCGTACCACCATCTGCAATCACATTTCCACGGGATCTGAAGCCCATTACGTGTAAGCAAAATAGCCACATACACAATAACATTATGTCAAAACATACATAAAAACATAGAGTCCACGTAGTTATTCAAACTTGGAGAATTCAGGCCTCAAAATTATAATCATGGGACTGAGACTGGATTTCATCAGCTGACTATTGCAAGAGCGATGTTCTAATTCACAAGGACAAAATCAGAAAACTGAAAAGGACTTAAAATATTTTTAGCAGCATTTCTGTAATTTACATGGAAAGGCTGACATTTAAAATTGGCTTAAGAGAATACTTGCTTGCTGCGTGCACAGTAATATTGGTAGAGCTTAACATACCATGCCTAAAGGAAAACAAACGAAAGCCCAGTAGTCAACATAGCTTTTTTTCCTCCCTGATGCAGGCCAGGTCTCTCGTTCACCTACCATCTTGTGCAGAGTTGATGACAGCGATGAGGCTGTAGGGCCCATCCCCTTTGTTGTTGAATGCCTTCACTTTTACTTGGAACGCAGTGGAAGGGGTCATGGTTTCGTCTTTATGGACATAGCGACCAGTATCTGGGTTAGTAACTGTCACTTTCTTCCATTCTTCTCCATCAAATGGCTTAAATGCCACTATGTAACCGAAATTGTTACCATAATGGTATTCTCTTGACAAGGGCTAGACAAAAATTCAAATAACAAATAAGTTTGTGATACAGTTACTAGGAAGAATCGTATGAGAAGACAGTCATACAGAGACGGATTAGAGATAGTTATGAAGATGCCAGGGCACCCAAGTATATGCATCCATGAGACGATGCCATTCCTGGAGTGCTGTTCATGATGCTCCCTAAGCACCTATGTGACCACAACCCCAATCGCATCCACTCCCAATTAGTTTTTCCCTCCCTCATTGTGGGAGAAGTACCACCTTCCATCCGGTATTTTCTCAGCCCATGGAATCTGCCGCTGTAAGAATCTGCAGTACCCTATGTGCCACCTCCTGGCTTCCCTTCCTTCCCCTTCACACTGTCTCAGTCAATTCCACACATTTAGTTTCTTCATCGACTGCTACTCAACTCCTACAAGTTAAAATGTACAAAGACAGGAGTTTCATAATTTTCCTTTCCTCTTCATCCTTAGAACCTAGAGCACGGGTGAAAAGATGCAGGATGAATGACTAAGGAATCTAAGGGCCACAACGTGAACCCAGACTCCAGAACATTGAAGTTACTATCGGGAAGTGATTTCTAGGAGGAATAGGAGCAGGTGCCTGGGAAGAAGAACGGAGCCACTCCCATGTGCAAGGGGTTGGCTTTGGGCAGCTGCTTTCTGAACACTGCAGCAGGGCTTCTTTTCCTGGAATTTACTCGGGGTTTCTCTGGAAGACAATTGTTGTTTGCAAGGTTTGTGACTGTATAGGCAGCACCGTGTTGAGTTCTGTTCTAATCCCTTCTCTTTAAATTTTTGTAGGTTCAATATTTATACATGTTGGGATATATTAGCACACACACATGCTTTCAAACTAGTAAAAAAAATTTCCTAAATCTCACTTGAAGAAGATCTGATTTAAATGGCCACATAGCGGAGTTAAGTCACTTTCCACCATATAGCCATTTCTTGGATGAATCATTTTAATTCATGAAAGTCATAAAGACAAAACCTCGTACTTTTCTTACCATTGTTGACATCTTGTTGTGACTATTATCTTCAGCAGTCAAATACTAAGAATACCGAATGAGTGGGTTGCACAGAGCGTGTCTGCGCAGGTGCCAGGAGCCTCAATCAGACAATCTGTGACTGTTATTCCGCTCCCTGTTCACACAGCCCCTGCTTTGAAAATCCAGAGTCTGACTTAGAGCTTTCCTTTGAGTCATGAAAACTGAGTGAAATGCTTGACTCTTAGTGTCAAGCCCTTGGGGCAACTGCTAAGAAGATTAAGATGGATTATAGCAGTGACTGAAGTCAGGCTTGAGCCAGAGCCAGTGTTTTGTTTAGAAACGGATTTGATGCCATTTGTGAACATAATCTTTAGTGTATTAATACCCAGGCAAAAGGTTACAAGACTTATAATAGGTTAGAAGATGCCATGTGCTCACAGTCCCTGTGGGATCAAATAGCTGGGTGTTTTCTAGAGCAACACTTCCCTGGGCAGCCAGTGTCTTGTCTGGCACAGGAAGTGCTTCCCAAGCACAGAAAGATAGGAAATCTGATGTGCATAAAGTAGCTATTCTCTTGCATGGGTTGAGTATTCCTTTTTATTTTCAATTTATTTGAATAAAAAATGGGGTGCATTTAAAACTAGATAATCATCTTTCCCATGCAGCTGGTTAGTACTCACCGCCCATGTTATTGTCAGCTCTCTGTTGCTTCCACCGCCACCTCCTACATCTGAGGGAGCCACATTTGGTGCTGCAACAAGTAAATTGCAAAAAGTAAATAGAAGCTAAGAATGTCTTTCCTGAGAATGAGGTTCTTATTTGGCACAGAAGCAATGCATTCTTCATCCACTGAGCACAGTCAGCTGCAGCAGGAGCAGCAGAGGTGTACATTCATCCTCTCACCTCATGCTTCGATCTCTGTAAGACTACATCATGTAGTTTCTACACGAGAGAACTGTCCTTTATGTGCTCTTCCTTACCCTCTCCTGTCACTGATGAACATGGAGGAACTCACACACTGTTCTGCATGGAAGAACTTCCACACAGAGGTGCAGAGAAGAACTTACACAGATGTACATGGAAGAACTCACATACAGATGTGCGTGGAAGAACTCACACACAGAGGACAGATGTGCATGGAAGAGCTCACACACAGAGTACAGATGTGCATGGCAGAACTCACACACAGATGTACATGAGAGAACTCACACAGATGTGCATGGCAGAACTCACACACAGATGTGCGTGGAAGAACTCACACACAGATGTGCATAGAAGAATTCACATACAGATGTGCATGGCAGAACTCACACACAGATGTGCATGGAAGAACTCACACACAGATGTGCATGGCAGAACTCACACACAGATGTACATGAGAAAACTCACGCACAGCTGGTTTGTACTTGACCCCATAATCATTTTTTAACAGTAGCCATGTTTCTGCTTCCAGCCCCAGATGTCATTCTTTCTCACTCTTTTAAAAGCCACATTGCTCTTATCTGCTCAGTTCAGTATCCTTTTGGTTGTTTCTCCTTGGAATCCCTCCAGGGTAGGCACTGCCCTTTGTTTAATACATAGGCTTGGCTTCTAACTAGACGTGCATGTCCCAGCACTAGCAGCAATGCGGGCCAAGCTCAATGCTCCTTAAGAAATGTACGTTCCCTCACAAATGCATTGGCTCCATGTGAGCTGTCACCCACTCTGTTCGCACCCTAAGGAGATGAAGTGTTAGTACTTCCAGGACTAAATTTCTTTACAACAGGACCTAGCCACGCCCATCTCAAAACATCCCTAACGAGGTGACACTCGGGGGGCATCAGAACCTAACAAAGAGCTGAGACTCAAAGAAGTATCTTTAAAATGTGTATGTCAGTCATATAAGTTCCTTGATGAAATATGTGCTTCAGCAGCATAGAAACAACAATGCATGCATCGATCAAGCTATGCGATCTCTTTTCCTCATGAAGAGATTAATATGAAGCCCAAGAGACAAATTTATTATTCAGTTGTCACCACTGTGTACTAGAGGGTGAAACTGGGCACAAAAGGATGCTAAGAGGTGAAGAGTAATTTACTTGTTAATATGTGTGTGTGTGTGTGTGTGTGTGTGTGTACTATATATATTTTGCAGGCCAGGATGTTAAAATCTGTAAATGTTCTTAGCCCCATAACTAATATTCTAAATTTAGATCTCTGTTTGCTATGAAAAAATCTAACAAGCATTTTTTTTCTAAAATCAGTAAATCAAAGTTTTTTTTTCTCTAAATACAAGTAGAGTGATTATAGGGAAATAATTTCAAAGTAATATTAAATAAACTGTTATAAAAATGCACGGAATCAAATATTCCTCTTCTTAGGACAAGTGTGTTTGCCAAGACATTTCTTTGTAAAGCTTTTCATTATAATCAATTTAATCCTTATAAGTTATAAAAACTAAAAATATCTATGTCTCTATTGTACTAAACATCTTCTATTTTGTGATAAGTTAAATACTTTCTAGCATGCTTCAAGTGATGAATTTAAGACTCATTTTCTTTTCAAAGACTATCCAGTCTGTTCATGCAGTTAAACTCAAAACAAGAAAACCTCAAAGGTAAGAACTGTGTCTCTTAATAAAATATTTTGCCTAGATTATTGACTTATTGATTGCTTTTAGCTTCAGCCGGGTAGAAGCAATTTCCACAGAGGGAATTGACATATAATGTGTCTAAATTAATTCAGAGAGCAGTGCAGTTGACACTCTATGCTCAGTTCTGCTCAAGGAGGAAGCCTTCCTTCCCACAGAATTCTAGGTCCCATGGAAGTAAATCTTGATAAAAATTAGCAGGCATGTTTCGTTTCAGGCTCTGGAAACTTAACAGAGAACAAACTTAGTGTTCTTTAAGACATAAATTATCAAAACAAACTTGAACTAATGTTTAAAAATTATAAATTATTAATAGTAAATAAACAATACTTATAATTTTAAAGTAAGATGCTTTAAATCATCCCTTTGCCAGCATTTTGGATAAAGAGTATTTTATTTCTATTTACAAAGGGGCCTGTGTGTTTCAGCTTATAGATCCAAAACCAACTTGGAGATCAAGTCAAATTCACAATTATTTTTAGCAATGAAAGAACAAAATATTTCCAATTTTCCTTTTATATTTTAATATTTAAATAATTTCCATTTAAAATCTCGTTGGGCTTTATTTGGCAATATAACAGCTGGCATGTAAGAAATTTTGAATATGAAAAACATATTTTCTAAAGATTGGCTTTTGATACATAATATGCTGACAACTTATTTTTTCCTTAGTGCTTTATCATATATAGTCATCCTAACACAAAAATTTAAACATCAAAATTTCAATTAATATCAAAATTTCATTATGATTTGAAAATTAAGAAATTGAATATGATTGCATATGTCAGGCTATAAAACCAGGGATTGACATTCAATATTCTATTTTCAATGTATAGAGTCTTCTTTTTTTAAATAGTTCCATTTAGCTTTTAGATTACAATATGATTATATCATTAATATACAGTTATGAAGTACTACTAGCAAAATCACATGAACTATACAGTGTTTGTAACTTGTGAGACCCTGGTCTGGTGGTAGAGCACACTGCTAAGGCTTCTGACATGCTCCCATTTTAAACAGATGGTTTCCTATTGGAGAATGCAAACAGATTTGGAATCCACTATGTCTCACCCAGTAAGACCACAGTTTCTAATATTTGTAAATATAAAGAGGCTGCCACATAGCTAGGTGACTTCCTCAGTGAACTCACAATAAAAGAGTAACTCAGCTCAGGTGAGGACGTTTAGTTTGGCAGAAATAAAGGTTATAAGCAGAAAACATAATGCACAATAAATTTTTTTCTTGATACCTCAATCCAACTGTCTTTTGTTATTTAAAAGAAGTGAAAGGATTAAAGATTTCTAGTGTTCTTTTTTGTTAATGAGAAATGAAATAATCATTCTAGTGCATTTGCTAAACTTATTTCCATAAAACAATAAGGAATTTTCTTATACTACTATTGTTACTAATATGTTTCTTCTCCTATTAAACGTATTTAAGAAAAAGAAAGATGGAAAACAAAAAAAAATAAAACAGAGAAAATGAAAATAGAGGAGTAGAATCATTTCATTAGGTATAAAACTATGTGTTTTACGCGTCATTCTTGGCTGTGATGTCATATCCTCATTAAATTGATTTGAACTGGCAAATACATATGAAAGCTATCAAAATTAATCTGCCTTCACCTGCAGAGATATTGATGTGGGTATAAGTCCTGTGATGATACTTAGCAAAGGGGATGTATTTGTTAACATTTTAAATCAAAATTGTATTTCTCAAATTACAAATGTCTTCTATTTCTTCACATGAAAACATCTTACAATATACTTAGCCAAACCTAAAGAGTGCCCTTCACTGTTATCCAAGTCCTTAAATATTAAGTAACTGTAGAAAAATGTGTACTGAGTCACAGGTCTCTGAAGTGATGAGGCAGGGTTTCAGCAGATCAATGGCCAGCGCTACCACTATATTAGAGTGAACCAGAATGACTTAAATCTAAACATTGCATCACAATGGCCGGGTATAAGCTTATCCTACTCATCTATAAATCTGGAATGATGACACAGGCGTAGTGAAACATGCCTATAACTGTACAACTTAGGAGGGTGAGGCAGGAGGGTCTCATGATGAAGAATATGCTGCATTATATGAAACACCTAATTGAAGGGAATATCAACAGTAATAGTGTTGATCTGGCAAAGTTATTGTGAGAATTAGGTGAAGTAATACAACCAGAGAATGTGCAGTCTATCTGAGAACACATAGGTGGTGTGGGAGGTCCTTCTGTCTGTGTGTTGCTTTTATTAGTTAATGAATCAAGAGCTGCTTTGAGCCTATGGCAGGGAAGAACAGAACTAGGTGAAGGTAGGCTGTATGCTGGAAGGAAAAAAGGCAGAGCGAATGGTCTAAACTTGAGACAGGTATGATGTTACGATTGGAATATTTACCTAACCCAACTTAAACACTGGGATTTTCCTGAAATTTTACTCTGAAATGAAAGCTTGTTCAAACAAATCAAGTTTGATTTCTTGGTATGGAATTCTGTGGTCCAAACCGCCAGTCAAGTCACGCTCCATTTGTTTTCCTTTGTTTTTCAGATCATCACACAGAGGCCACCACCGCAACATAGGTGGCATCTGAGGCAGCAATAAATAAGCAAACCCAAGACCTGGCTGGCTATGTGGTGTCTGTGTCTCATACATTTCAACTTGGATCACACCTTCCTCCTAATGAAACTTCTGTGGTGTAGAGAAAACAGAATGTTCCAGGTCATGTTGCAGGGAACTAAACTAAAACAAAAAACTTCTGGTGACATTTACTTTCTCATTTCAGGTAAAAGACTTTAATCCAAGTTCATAAAAGTAGATGAGTGTTCAGAGTTCTGCTTGAAAAGCTGTCTTAAAGACATAGCTCAGTGACTTGGAAGAGGCACCTGGATTGGAAGTTTAAACTTACAAATATGAGCCTTGACTTAAATCAACTCTCTGAAAGGATCCAAGCCATTAGTACTGGGATACGCTTTCCAAAACAAATCCTGGATTTCAATGATATTTTCTTCATTTTGCCTCTCTCATGTTCATCTGATCAGCTGTGTAGAGCTACATAGAACTTTGGAAGGTAATTCATTATAGCCATCTCCATGATATTAAAACTTACAGTTCTATTTGGAAATCAGGTCAAGGAACTGGGGCAGCCAAAAATAGGAGTAAGTGATATTAAGGAACCACCATAGAATTTTAATGGCAGTCAATCATCTTTTTAAAATCTTTAACTCAAATAAAACCATGATTTTTGGCAAGGAAAGTTAAAATATGTGAACTGAACCGCCCCCAATTTTTTTGATAGACAGGGACTAATAAAAAGAAGAAATATTGTCAGAATCAGAACAACATTTTACCTTAGAAACATGAGATAAAGAAAGAATGGAGTATTTGTTAAAAATAAAGGGTATTTAAATGGAATGGGTATTTAGTATAAAAATGTAAATCAGAATTGGCTTAGCTGCTATGAGAACCTAGTTAGAATAAAGCCTGAAGTTCAGAGTATGTACCCTGTGTCTTATGTCATGACTCTTCAGTGCTATGACCCCATGAACCTTTACCAACTCCCTGGTCTCCAGATCCTTCCTGCCCTGTAACCCCTGTCCATATATGCCAGTCAAATGGGTATTCAGCTATAAATGTTTTTGTGGTACACAAACATGTTGAATCTCCCAAATCACTGAACTTATTTAATCCAGTGTCTTCCTGGTGAAGATTCACAATTTACATTAAAAATTGTATATTCTACATACAAACTTTATTTGAATAGTTTCTAGTGGAATGTGCTGAGAAAAGTGAAGTTTATAATTTTTATATAATTAATGTATCTCCTACAATAATATTTTGGTAGTTATTTTGTTGTTTGGGGCTACACACACATTTTTAGATGAACCACTGATGATAGAAAATATTTACCACTGCATTCTAGTATATTAAAGGGGTATGGAATTTACAAAGCTTATGGAATTTACAAAGGTTCTTGTACATACCAGCGCCATCTGTTCTGATCCTGTTTGAAGGTATGCTGGGTTCTCCTGTACCTAAAGTATTGGTTGCGACCACTCGAAATTCATACTCCATCCACGGGATCAAATCCACTGCTTTTGCTGCCTCCATGTTTCCTTCGATGATTGGGGGATCTAAATAGAATCAACATAAAATAGAGATTAGTAGTTGACTAAGTTATTTTTGTATCTAGAGGTGACACATATACAATGGGTTGGCATAAAACATCTATCAATGACAAATGCTGAGTTGAAAGGAGCTAGAGAAGAGTGAGAGAGAAGAGATTGATTACAAACTAGAGAAAGTGACACAGGTCAGTGAAATTTGCCTGTCTAGAAACCCTGAGTGGGGGCTGGAACCCTAAATCTCTGCCAAGCTCCTAGTTCCAGACTTGCTGCTAATCCATGGACTTCCCCTTGAGTAGAAAAGAGCCATTCCCTTGGAACAAAAGCAAGGGTGGTTTCCTAAGGCAGAAATTAGATGAACTTCCACTAGTGTGGTGCATAGGCAACAAATGATTTTCTGCTCAAATTAAAAATTACAGTGTGACTCCTATTGCTTGTAGGTTTTGTAGACTTACACCATCTTGGAGCTAAGCTTATATGGCTATAATAAGTTCTCAGCAATCAGGCCACTCAAGGGAAATTATAAATCATTATTAAGATATGATATCTGCTTGCTTATTTGAGATATGATAAAAATACACAACCAAGGCAGGTCTATATCTTAGTTTAAGCTTGTTTCAAACATTTCTACGTGACTTTAGTCATTACCTTACAAACACGTATATGTAAATACCTGTATAATAGTGGGAGAATTGTTCTTTAAGCTTGCCTGGGACTCATTATGTCGTTATTTGGAGGGAACTGTCATCTGTTTACGCATATTCTGTGTCTAAAACACAGCCTTTGAGGAGGTGGTGTTCAATGTCCAGTTTTTACCTTTATACTAACATGCATAACCAAGGCTAGTTTGGGTTTCACCATGTCTAATTTTTTTCTTTTTAATACCAATTTTGTCAATTTTCCTATCATCTTGCCAGAACTTTGTTTAAAAGATTGAACATATATTTTTGACTTTCTGAAATCATACACATACAGGAAAGACTAAACAAACTTAGAAGCTTGCATTTATATATTTATGCATTTATGTGTGTGTGTGTAACCACAGTAATAAAAGAAAAAAGACCATCAATTTGAGCAAGTGAGGACGTCAGAGGAGAAAGGGGACTTTAGGAAGACTAGGAGGGAGGAAAAAATTAAAATTAAAAGGGGACAAAGAAGGAAATTTGGTGCGGGAGGGCCTTCTGTCTGTGTGTTGCTTTTATTAGTTAATGAATAAAGGAACTGCTTTGGGCCTATAGCAGAGGTATAGGGGAACAGAACAAGGTGGGGAAAGCTAGGCTGTACATTGGGAGAAAGAAGGGCAGAGTCAGAGAGAAGCCATGGAGCCACTGCCAGAGTCAGACATGCTGAAATTTTGCAGGTAAGCCACTGCCATGTGGCAACACACAGATCAATAGAAATGGGTTAAATTATTATGTAAGAGTTAGCCAATAAGAAGGTAGAGCTGATGGGCCAAACAGTGGTTTAATTAATACAGTTTCTGTGTGATTATTTCGGGGCTAAGTGGCAGGAACCAACAAGCGGCACCACCCCCTCTCCAAGAGAAATTCAGGTGGAAACATGAACAGACTAATTAGACACACAAACTTACCTGTCTTGGCATCTTTCCAATCATCTGAGAGAATGGTCTTGGTCTGGATAGTGTATTTAGAGATAGGACTGTGATTGTCTGAACCTCGGCTCCAAGTCAGTGCCACAGAGGTAGCTCTAATGTCTTCTATTCTCAGGCCACCTGGAGGGCCTGGGGGGCCTGGGATGAAAATGTGGGTAAGAACACAGTGAGTGTCAGTTAGGGAAGTAAACACGCATGGGGATACACCAAGGGCTTCCCTGAAGTTCTTCTAATCAGTGTGGTTTGTGTTGGTTGTTGCTCTTTCTCAAATGTAGACAAAAAGTCGTGATAGCACATCCTGTGTTGGCACACAATAATTCCATGTGTCCCTTTGTAAGGAAGGCAGTAAATGTTGCCGTTAAAACAGCAGTGGACCAACACTTACTCAGCCTGTAAAGGCGTTTGTCACCAAGCCTTAAGACCTGAGTTCAATCTCCAGGATCCACATGGTGGAAAAAGAGAACTGACTCCCAAAAAGTTGTCCCCTGACCCCCAGACACATGGAGTTATCCTTTGACCTCCAGATGAGTGCTTGTGTCCCTGAATAACTATTTCTTTTAAAAAATACAAATTAAAAAATCCAACACTTTACTGATGATACAAGTGAAATTGTTTGATACAGAAAATATAGCTGGCTTCAGCAAAACCAATACAAATTAGAGCATGTTGAGCTTTAATGAATGCCTATTAGATGCATGAATCCCATATTTAATTCAAATATAAGAATATTTGAACCAGTGTTCCATTCTCTCTCTCAAGAAAAAATTAAACATCTTACTACAACCTATATGCCATAACATTAATCATAATGATAATGTATTCAATCTATTTTACTTGGATTTCTGAGAATCATTTTATATATGGTTTTGGCTATTAAATTTCTTATTAGTCAAAACAATAAAGATAAATTACATTGAGAGAGATTTGTCTACTTAAATGAAATAGTGAAGATAACTCTCTACTTAACATCTACTCTGAAAATATCACATCAGATGTTGACAAGTCTTAGAACACAAGACTCCAAGGTTGTTGAACATAAATCAGTGTTAAGATAGGTTTCCATAGGTACATCACTCTATAGAAAATATGCTACCTTTTTATTCTGCAAACCGACTGCACCAGGCTGAAATGGATAGGTCTTAAGGGTTTCCATGGCTCTTTAGCTTGAAAAGAACAAGCTGACCAGCAAAGCACTAAGTAGAGTTAAGTTGGCAAATGCCAGGGAATGGGTCAAGTTCTTTTATTTCAGGTCTTGATTTTTGTTCCCTTCTTAAAACTGAGGGCCACAGGAGATATTTTAAGTAATAAACTACAGCCATTATGTGCTGCTAAATCATTTTGGTTAAAAGACATCGAGTGCAGAAATTCAGAAAATGCCTCCACTTAACTCTCTCTGTAACACAAAGGCGTCTATAACTGAATTGTGCCTATCAAATACAGCAATCAACTATTTTGTTAAGTTGCACTTGTTTTAATAGTGAGTTGTACTGAAGCACATGTCTGTCGTTATCCCGCTGCTATTGCCTCCCTTATGCTATATCAAGTGAGTATGCAGCCTCCGTGGCTGTCGTTGTATTTGTGATTTGTTTTTCTGGGGGACAGGCAACATCTCACACCTTTGCCAATCTCGAGGAGGAAGTATTTGTGTGTCAATAAACACAAGACACTCCCTGTTGCTGGCAGTAACTTTTATTCCTTAGAATGATATATATGAACACAATAAAGGTAAACGAGATTTTAAAATTCATCATCTATGAGTGTGCTTATATCTAACGTTAAACAATCAAATACAGATATGTACATAATATAAAGCACACTTGCTATTCAAAGAAAATACAGCACTTTTTTATGTATAAAAACCAAACTGAAACATAAGACAATTTGTGAATGAGACTTTTGGGAAAATCAAGTACTGAGCATAGCATTTCAGAGAATTAAACTAGAATAGCAAGATAAAAGAGGAGAGAAGCAGTCTTTTTAAAGGAGCATAAGTTTTTATGATTTATTACAACTCTGCTGAGCATTAGAGTATAGCAATGTTACAAGGAACTAAAGGAACTCTCAGGTTAGCATCTACCTGCTCATGTGCACATCCTTTCCCTGCTGTTTTTCTCTAGAATTCTTGGGGTTTCCGGTGAGCAATATCGCACAGAGAATGGATGATGATGGATATGTCAGTATATTTGTTAGGAGCAATGTGTGCATCATAAGTGTGTTGAGTTGCTCAGTGTCCGAAAAACAATTACTGAACAAATATATGGTGGTTGTTTTTTAATGTTGATCTTGAAAGCATGCCTGGTTTGTTAGGGTCCATTGGTGACCATATGGATGAAGTGATCACAGCTGCAGTCCTTATAGTAAACACACTCTTCATTAACACACCAACACTGAGAGGCTGTATTACCGGGAGGTGGAACTGGGGGAGTGGTTGAAAGGAGTGGCCAGCGCCCCAAAAACCCTTATGTGAAAATATTCTTTGCAATCTTTCATCTAATATAAAATAGACTTTCTGCTTCATAACCTCTTATTCTGAGCCTTAGCCTTTAGTGGCTGTGCCATCTCTCTAGGCTCTCACCTAGTTATTTCTTGTATTTGTCTCCAAGATAAAAATTCCACCCAGAAGGAAAAACATCATAATATTAAAAAGCTGGAATTTGACAGTTCAAAATAAGCATGTCTTTAAAATTCATATGCTAATTTAATGTGGTCAGGGCTTTTAAGCTCAGGGGTTCTTGCTTTCTCAAATGTGAAGCGGGAGTCATGTGAGTTCATCATCAGATTGTCATTGTGACTAAAACAGCAAGCTTAAAGAATTGGGTTCCAGGCAGGCCTAGTCCCTCAGACCCTTTGCACACGTCAGCTGTCGTTATTGCTGCAAGCTTTCTAGGAGTTACGGCTCTGGGAAGCAGTGATTACTCTTAACAAGAGCTGCTAATTTATCATTGGAAAGCAGCAGGGACCCCAGCAAATGACGTGTTTTCTGTGGCATTTGATGGAAGAGAGGGAAAATCCAGACTGCACAGCTACTGTGGAGCATGGGATTCTAGATGGCCTGAGCTGACCCCAGGCCAGGCTGCTGTTCTTCCCACAGGAGAGTTTGCGGCAGTGGATGTTAATGTTCCTTGGTTGGTTATTTTAACTTTTTCCCCAAATGACAGCGCTGTGGTAGAAAACGAGACAAAGAAACTGCTTAACCTAGAACAAAAGAAGGCACCCAATAAGCAGAGCCCACTCCTGAGCCTCTTGTCAAAGGGATGTGGAGGCACTGGGGTTACACACAATTGTGACTTTAAGGTCCTTTCCTTCCTTCCTTCCTTTCTTCCTTTCTTCCTTCCTTTATTCCTTCCTTCCTTCCTTCCTTCCTTCCTTCCTTCCTTCCTTCCTTCCTTCCTTCCTTCCTTTCTCCTCTTCTTTCTTTCCTCTCGTCACTGTATACCCTCAATAAATCCTTATGGGAAGAACTGACATCAGGAACTGCACAAGCAATAGCCAGGGCAAATATTTTCAGCATTTGCCATGTAGTCAGCATTTCTTAGGACATCCTCATCCAGAAGAAGATAAGCACATATTTTTGTGACTAGCCCTAGCAAAGTCAAGTTATTAATTTTTCTTACCACCATTAAATACTTGAGAAATGAAAACAGTAGGAAAAAAAAAGAAGTGAAGTGAGGAAGGAGGAAAATGGCAAGAAAGAGATGGAGAAGCGAATAAAGTTGGTGAAAGCAGTTTTCTGGTTTTCACCCCTCTCCGACTTCAGCCACCTCACAGTCTCTCCGGGTCTTCTGCACTGCACAGTTCTGAGCTCATGTCACATCTCTATAGACAGGCTGATCTCTGTTTCTTGATCCAGCCAGATGGTGCCAGGACAGTCTTGTGCTTGGCTAGGAGTATCTTGCTGCACTACACAGATAGAGGCAGGGACATATACTGCTCTTCCTGTTATACCACCAGCTCCACCCTTTCTGTTTGCCAGCCACATGTTCTTTCTCTCCTGCTTTCGTATCCTCTGAGACTGTTGACAGAGGATGCTCTGAGCCATCACCTTACATCCTTGTAGGATAAAGCACAGCTAGTTACCAGCCTCCTTCCCACAGGCACTGGGGAGCCCACAAATGACAACTGAAGCTGGTGTCGGGTCTGTTACCCAGTGAAGGAATATAGAACTGTAAATTATCCAGGAGGTGGCAGAGAGTCTCCCATCTGTCACAGCCATAGTTTCTTTCACTAATTTACTCTTGGACCTTAACAATTTTATTATTAAATCATTGACTCCTGGTAGATGAGGAAAGAACCAGTGCTCAGTGCTCCTCACAGCTGGTATTAGTGTATTTTATAAAAGAATTCCGGTCTGGAAAGACGATTGCCTGAACCACTTGAGCAGTCAGACAGAATGTAGTCATAATAGGTGACAAACTTTCCTAGCACTAAATTGGGGAATGTCAATTAGAAATCTCAGAGCACATGTCTGCAATGTGAAGGGCTTTCTAATGCTGCCCGCTAAACATTTCCAAAGAGCCTGTGTTATATCACCTATTTTTTAAATAAACATGGCTCCAGTACGGGCATTCTCTTTCCTCTGAAAAGTGGCCAGTTTGTAATTAAAAAGAAAATGAAACAACAAAACAAAGCAACAACAACAAAACAAGACACCGCATTACAGAACATATTCTGTATCCATTGTTAATTTTTACCAAAGTGATGCAGTCAGATGAAAAGTTTGAAGAGGCTGAAAAAAATCATCAAAACCATCATCTTTTATTTGATTAAAACAATCTCAAAATAAAACTGGTCAATAGAGAAGAAAATATGTAAATGTTAGCTGGCCAAAAGCTTCTCCTTTACCAAATAGAAGACCCTTCATTACAACTGGCTTGCTAACACCAGAAAATTTGTGAGGATAATGGCAGTTTGTAACGCTATAAAATCAAATCAGTGTGTCATGCAGCTGTTCAAGTTTTAGCAGCAATAGGACAGAAATAAATACTGAACATCCTCTGACATTGATTAAAAAAAAAGAACTTCTACCCCTGTTAGAAATAAAATGGAGGCAAGAGGAAGTTAATGAAGCCAAGAAACCTTGTCGAAACATGAGCAAACCCTTTCCTTTCGTGAGATTTCTTTCTGAATTTTCAGTCTTT